AGGGATAAGGCGGCAGAGATTAACTAAAGATCTTATATGCATTACCTATGGACAAAGACAATAGGGTGCTGAAGGTCTGGGGTGGGATGGGTAATGGGTGGAAAAAAGGAGACATCTGTAATACTCTAAACAATAAAGATTTTTAAATAATCAAGAACAGCTCAGCGAATATAGTCAATAATATTGTAATGGCTATGTATGGTGTCAGGTGGGTACTGGAAATATCCAGAGAAACACTTTGTAAAGTATATGACTTTCTAGTCACTATGCTGTATACCTGAAACTAATCTATACATATAAAGAGGTAATATGCTAATAGTCCATTATGGTGTCCCAGTAATGACCAATTTGCATATTGACAGACCAGCAGGAGGATGCACACACAGTAGAGGGCAGGCGGCCAGAACCAAGTTTCTGGGGGTCTGAGGAGAGTCCCTGACAGGAACCTGGACTGCAAAGAAGGAAGAAGCGGCCATGGGGAGCTCTTCCAATATCCCTGCATGGACACCCCTGCACCCCCAGAGGGACGGGGTGGATGACCAGATGGAGAGAAAACCCAGCCTCAGGGGTAGCTGCAGCCTGAACCTTCCACTCCTGATCTCTTACCCCGCCATCCCTGTCTGGGGCGCCCACAACAATAGCACACCAGGGACCACTGGTCAGAGCCCCAAGGCACCCAGGGTCCATGGCTCCCGCTGCCAGGCCCCCTCTGCAGGGACTGGGCATGCCTCTCCTCCCTACAACTCCAGACCCGGGTGGAGGAAGGCTTAAGAGACCCTCCAGGGTCAGACTCTTCCCTCTCCCGACATCAGCAGCGCTGTCTCCACAGCTGAAGCTCACTGAACCTTACTGGAGGCCATGCTAAATCCGCCCTCCTAGCCCAACTGGCTCAGCCCTGGCCCAGACCCCACCCCGCTCCAGGAAATTGGAGCCCAGACCTGAGCAGGTACAGCTGCTAAACAGCCAAGTACAATTTAAAGAATGGGAAGGTTTGGCAGTTACTCCCCCTTCTGCCTCGCCACCCCCAGAAGTCCCTATAACATCCCGCCCCCTGCCAGTGCCTCCAGGGAAGACCACCCCTACAGGGCTGCTGGCCAGAGACCGCCCCTCAGAGGCCTGCAGAACCCTCTGCAAAGCTTCCATAGCTATAGTCCCAGGAAACAATCATGCCCTCCTCCCTAATCAGCACCTGCTACCTGCGAGGGTACCCGTGAGCTTAAAAATAACAATCCCTTCCTGTTTAGACATCACTCATAAAACATTTCTAGGTTTATTAGCTCAGAACCTCCTCATGACAATCCAGTGAAGTAGGCAGAGAAGAGATTACAGTTCCCATGGTATATGTGTATGTATTCAGAAATGAAGCTCAGCGAGGCAGAGTGTCAAGCTCAATGGTTCCCAAGGTGCAGCACATGCCCCCCTAGGGGGGGGCGGGGATTTGATTTTAAGTGGGGGCAATTTGAGAATGAGTTAACAGTGAATTTTTTGTATTTCTTATGGTACTAGGGGGCCTCATCTACAGCTTTTCCTACATAATAAAAGGCTAATATACAAATGACTAAATAGTGGAATGACTGTCATTATGATGCATACTGACCAGCAAGGGACAGACACTCAATGCAGGAGCTGCCCCCTGGTGGTCAGTGTGCTCCCACAGGGGGAACGCTACTCAGCCAGAAGCTGGGCTCATGCTGGTGAGCACAGCAGCAGTGGTGGGAGCCTCTCCCACCTCCATAGCAATGCTAAGGATATCTGACTGATGGCTTAAGTCCACTAAGCTTCAGTCAGACATCCCCCCAGAGCTCCCAGACTGTGAGAGGATGCAGGCCAGGCTGAGGGACTGCCCTCAAGTGCATAAATTCCGTGTACCAGGCCTCTAGTACAAAATAATAATGAATGTAAACTGTAATTTAAAAAAACTTGGAATTAAAAATATGGGCAAAGAACTTAGATATTTCTCCAAAAAAGATACACAAATGGCCAATAAGCACATAAAAAGATGTTCAACATTACTAATTATGGAAAAGCAAATCAAACTCATCATGAGATTCCCCTACATAATATAGTATGACTACTATATTAAAAACAAAACAGAATAGGAAATAATAGTGTTGGCAAGGATTTGAAGAAATTGGAACCTTGTGCACAGCCGGTGGAAATATGAAATAGTGCAGCTATCATCTAAAGCAGCATGGTGATTCCTTTAAAAATTCAACATAAAATTAGCATATGATTCAGTAATACTATGTTTATGCAATACCATTTCTCAATATACTAAAAACAGAGACTTGAACAGATATTTGCAGACCCATGTTCATAGCAACATTAGTCACAAAAGCCAAAAGAGAAACATCTTAAGTGGCCATCAACTGATGAACAGGTAAACAACATATGGTACAGACATACAATGAAATATTATTCAGCCTTGAAAAGTAAGGAAATTCAGCCCTGGCTGGGTAGTGCACTTTGTTAGAGTATCATCCCATACACCAAGGTTACAGATTTTATGCCTGGCCAGTGCACGTACAAGAATCACCCAATGAAGAAGAAATTAGTGGAACAACAAAGAGCAATGTGTGTGTGTGTGTGTGTGTGTGTGTGTGTGAAAAAACTTTAAGGAAATTCTGATACATGATATGACATAAATGAAGTAAGCCAGTCACACAAAAAATATTTTATGACTGCACTTATAATAGGTTATAATAGAGTAGTCAAATTCATGGCAGTAGACCCAGTGGGGCTGAGTGTTAGTATTTAATGGACATAATGATAGTATGGGAAGATGAAAACGTTCTAGAGATCGATGGTAGTGATGACTGCATAACAATGTGAATGTATTTAATGCCACTGAACTGTACACTAAATGATAAATTTTATGTCTATCTTACCACAATTAAAAAATTAGACAAATATTTTAATCTCCCACTTCTCCCTAGAGAACCCAAAAATATCCCATCTAGTTAGGTTGGGTTAACTCTGAGAAAAGTTTGTTGGTAAAACAAATAAACAGAGGGATCACTGAGTTTATGAGTAGCCATTTACCTTGTAAATAAAATAACAAGTACATACTCAGCTGCTGTCATATCTGACTGAATAAGTTATCTGCTGTTAGAATTGTTCTACCAATGAATTATTTATTCAAAATATCATTAAATAAGTACTACAGGATTGTATGTCCATGAGTCACAAAGGTTAAAGTGTGTGTGCTAAACAAAGAAAATTTATTACTAATTCATTTATTTTACTAAGACCTAGCTTTTATGCAAGCTACCAAACTGCACCTATAAAATAATAGAAATGCCAAACTAAGGAAATACATTTTAAAACATTATAATTTTATTGATTTCAGAGAGGAAGAGAGAGATAGAAACATGAATGATGAAAAAGAATCATTTATTAGCTGCCTCCTGCACAACCCCTACCAGGGACCATGGGTTAAGAAAGGACTTCTATATCTGGGAAAAACGTTCAGTCAAAAAGTACTATTGTTAATGACAAACACATAGGCCAAAGTTCAGCTTATAGACAAGGAAGTGTTTCTATATTTTTTTTCTCTGTAATGAGGATATCATAGTAAGCATATTCAATTACCCGGGCATGTGCCCTGACTGGAAATCGAATGTTGACTTCTTGGTTCACAGGTCGACACTTAATCATTGAGCAATACTGGCAATAAAATTTTATTACTTCTATTTCAATGTTCAAAATAAGCAGAATATCCCAATAATTGCTTAATTTCTGTCTTGAAAAGACTCTATGCACTCCTTACAAAACCCTATAAAAGTTATTTTTTTAACAGTGATGTTTTAGAAATCATAACATCTTCATACAATGCCTTAATGACAAATATATGGTGCCAAAATAAAGACAAGACCAAGATTAAGTCATGCCCTCTGAGCCTATTCAGCCACCATGCAGACTGTATTCTGAAGGATGGATTTATTCTGGAGCCAGCGATAAATGGAGAACAGGGCGGGTCCAGAGATTTGTAGAATTCATAGCAATCATTTGTAAGTCATAAGCTTCCCAAGAGCTTTACTTTTTACTTTTGAAGAGCTTTAGTTTTTAATCTTAAATTTTTTTCTTTGTGTTAGTCTCTAAAACTCATTCCACATTGCATTTCACCTACATTGGTTTCCGTCATTATTCATTAGGTTTGTGAGCAGTATAGGCACAAAACTGCTTATTCTATCCTCCACAATCTACCACCTTACTACATTAAAGAAAGGCCTACTGAAGAAGGGCAAGAATGCTGGTGTCAGCATCCCCCCGTCTACAGACTGCTCAGCTTGTGTGTGCTTGCAGATTAGAGCCAAATATGGTATTTATATTCTCCTGGTTTGTCACAGGTTTCTACAAGCAAAATGCAAAAGAAATGTAATCAGAGATGAGGAAGATTTTGGGGTAAGAAAAATACAAAGCTGTACAAATGATAATATCATAAAGACAAAACACTGAATGGCTTTAAAAAATGAAAGAAGAAAATTAAGACATAAAGACCTTTAAAAATGACACTAAGATTTTTAAATTATACACAACGGAGCAGGAAAATAGGCCCTATGGCCTTTAAAAAGAATATTAAGATTTTAAAATACTCTAAATGAAGTAAAAAAGTGTTATTGTTAATGAAAAGCACATAAAAGCCAAAGTTCAATTAATAGACAAGGAAGTATTTCTCGATTTTTTTTTCTTTGTAATGAGGATATCATGTTAAGCATATTCAATTACACTGTCATTCATTAACCTGGATTATTCTTTGCAAAGAAATGATCAAAGAATTGAAAGTACAATTGTCCTAGAAATTCAAGCCTAGTTTCAGTTTATCTTTCAGAAAGAAAGAAAGAATCCAGTGAAACCTAGATGAAAAGGAAAAAAAAAAAAAAAGAATCCATCTTGGGGTAAATGGGTGATGGTAGAAGCAATAAAAAGTATTATTCTATTCTTGGAAGTCTGATACCAAGCAGAAGAATAACATCACATGGAGTTTTTCTCAAGCATACCGATTTTATTAAATGCTTCTTGTAGTTCCTCCAGCTCCTCCCGAGAAATGGTAGTGGTACTATTTTCCATCTTGACAGGAAAGACTTCCCTCAGGTCTTTATATCTTTAAAAAAAAAAAAAAAAAAGCAATGTTATAAAAAGAGCCTTTTGGACATTTATCTAAGCAGTAGAGTCTGCAAGCAGTAAAATATCTAGAAGGAATTATTTGAGAGGTCTGGCTGACAAGGAAAAAATAGACACCAATCCCAGAGTAACAAATACCTATTTTTCACACCTTGTGCTACTTCATAATAGCCTACCTTATTTTCATTTACATTTTACCCATCTATTTCAGTAAAATATGCACTTCAAGTTTGAGGGAAGTGTAATATTTGTAAACATAAAGATCAGAAAGCAAAAATTTAATACATGAGCCCCATCCACAAATAGAATTTTACAGTAAGAAGAGTCTGAGCATCTGGAGATGGAGCTGTGGCTTTCATGGTCAGCTTGACAATATGCGGCCACTGCCACCAATTCTCCCTTCTCCCAGGGAGAGGTCTTTCCCAGATAGGGAGGTCCTTTCTTACTCTGAGCAAGTGATATAAGCTAAAGGAAAAAAAATCAGTAAAACTGAGTTGCAACAAAAACAAACAGGTGGTAGTCATTGTAGAAAGTAATTGGTAATAGAAAATAACTTTGGTGATAGTGAGCACAGCTGCTTTCCAAACGTGATTGAAATTACCCATTAACACTATCCAGAAACATCAACTGGTATCACTTTATTTTTTACTTCCATCTGTTCTACTTTTTTAGTACATGAATACCTTTTTAAGGGGTGAAAAATGTTAGTATATTATATTTTTGCATGAATATGCTGCATGTTTTCATGTTACTTATCAATATAATGTTTAATGGTCACATATTACTATACCATAACATATTTGGTAAATCTCTTGTTTCAGGGTATTTCATTACTTTCAATATTTTGTTCTAAACAATGTTGCAATGAAGATAGAAATAAAATTGTATATATCCATGTTTATTTCTGTAAGATAAATATCTCAAAGTGGAATTATTTTTTTTAAGTCTTAACCTGCTGATGTTTTTCTATTGATTTTTAGAGAGAGTAGAAGGATGAAAGACAGAGTAAGAGAGGGAAACATCGATGTGAGAGAGATACGTTGATTGGTTTCCACCCGCATGCTCCCTGACCAGGGCCTGGGATCAAAGCATTTTCTTAAAATTGTTAGTATTTCTATAATGTCACTTGCCAATTCTCTGATATCTGATTTCATTTATTTGAATTCTCTCTGGTTGTCTATGGAGAGAAAGGCCAAGAGTATAGCTTAGGTTAGAGCTATATCTATTTCTTTTTTTAAAAAAGATAGATTTTTAGCCAAAGCCGGTTTGGCTCAGTGGTAGAGTGTCGGTCTGCAGACTGAAAGGTCCCAGGTTCGATTCCGGTCAAGGGCATGTACATTGGTTGTGGGCACATCCCCGGTGGGGGTTGTGCAGGAGGCAGCTGGTCGATGTTTCTCTCTCATCGACGTTTCTAGCTCTCTAGCTCTCTCCCTTCCTCTCTATAAAAAAAATCAATAAAATATATTTTTTTTAAAAAAGATTTTTAGCAATTACAGCAAAATTTTAACATCTGTTCCATCTGAGCATAAGTATATAGACATCAGTTAAAATTGCTATTGTCGGCCAGGCCTGGAGCAGCCGGGTCTGGTGCAGCCAGGCCCGGAGCAGCAGCTGCCAGGCTGGGAGCGGCCAGGCCCGGAACAGCAGCAGCCAAGTCTAGAGCAACTAGGTCGGGAGCGGCAGTGACCAGACCCGGAGCAGCTGGTTGTGGAACGAACCAGAGCAACAGAGGCCAGGCCCTGAGCAGCCAGGCTCAGAACAGCTCGCTCCTCGTCTGCCCCTGCCCCACGGCTGCCTCTCAGACATGGCTGGAAACTTTTGCTGGAACTTGAGGGTCTGCTGAATCAAGTGATGAAGGCTTAGATCTGGATGTGTTGAGTTAGTTTAGGGCTGGGGTGTTGATCTGTGAGTGCCTTGGGTGGGGCCTGGATGAGGCTAGTTGACCTATTGGGAAATGTCTTTTGTGTGAAGTGTATCTTTGGGCATGTGGAGGTATTATTGATATAAGAAAATGCTAAGTAACTGATTTACTATCTGAAAAGAGATTTACTATCGGGGAAAGGGAGGGAAGAAGAGACTGAACATAAACTGTGCACCTATGGATGAGGACAATGGGGGATGGGGAGGGGGTGGAGGGTGGGGTGGGAACCTGGTGGAGGGGGAAAGAAATGAGGAACCTTTGTAATAATATGAACAATAAAGATTGATTTAAAAAATAAATAAATAAAATTGCTATTGTACTTTTCATTATTTTTTGTTTTAAATTATTCATAATATAAAAATTATAAACTTAGAGAGTAAAAATAATAAAAATAATAAAGATAACAAAATAGGTTTTGAACAGGAGAAAATTTTATTTTCATAACCTCAATTTTGATCAAAATAATTAATATTATTTGAGCAGAATAATGTATTGAAATATCAAATTATGTTTATGAGAAAGCTAAAAGGCTAATTCCAATGTAACCCTGATGTTTGGAGGCTAGCAATCTGAATCTATGCAGTAACCTAATGTACATTCTTGATAACCTATAATTAAGTCACTGCCCCTTTCCTCACTATCTGGTCTTGCAAGACCTGATACCTAAATGCTCCCATTATAGAGAGGCCATAAACCATAAAACCCCTGAGGGGGTTATCAGCTCTGGCACTAGGCCAGGCCCTTAGTTATGATCTCAAGACCTCCATCCAAACCCACGGGGCTTTTTGCAAAGCCCACTAAAGGTATAGAAGACCCCATCCATATTTGGGTGACAAAGAAATCAAAAGAGGACAAAGGAAGGACTTCCACAATATTGGTTTGCTTAGACTCTGGAGACAATTTCTCTGAATAAAGCTGTGTAACTCCATTTCTCTAAGTGTCGCTTGGATTTCTTTGGTCTTCTACCTTCATTCTCTCCCCCAACCCCCAATCAATAAAAGTAATAACTATGTTTTATGTTAAGAATTCTGACAGCACCGAAAGCAAAACTAGTCTGAAATCTGTGGACCTTCTGTGTTTGGATAAAAGCACAGACCTTTTTTGGGCTTACTTAGGTTAGATACCTTGGAAATGGAGCAGCAGGAGAAGAGGTCTCTGGGAAGCCACAAATGAAAGAGATCCAGAGAAGGGAGAGATTATCATATGGGAAAGGAGGGAACTCACTTAATGATAGCAAGAAGATTGCTGCCCAGACGAGGCACAGACAAGGTATAGACAACGTGTAGTAGAACCTCTATGAGAGAAACCCACTAAACCATGAGGTATTTCCCAGATATTCTCTGAGGATTGATGACAGGATTGATGACTGAGGATAGAAAAACTTCATCAATGCTTTTCTCTGTTTAAGATCCCAGGATAATATAGGCTAAGAGACAAATTGCAGGTGTCTGAGAAAAATTTGACAGTATTCAAGCCAGATGAGGCATCAAAGTTAAAATAAAGTTGCTTTAAAGAACTTGGAGAAATGTGATATTTTCTTCATACCTGATTTTTATGGAAAAAGCCTTAATAGTGTTTCTCCAGAGAACTGGCTAGGGTAAGAGGTTCTGGAGCATGTCACTACTCCTCTCTTCTTCACAAAATCTTCTCTCATCTCTCACCATAACCTTCCTTTTTTCCTATTACATCCTATTTTCAGCTTTCCATTACAAGTTTAAAGATCATAAGATCACAGAAATAAATCACTATGTGAAGAAATAAGCAGCTAAAAAAGGTAAGTTAATTGAAGTTTTCTTTCTATTTAAAGGATTCTTGAAAATATTTTTATTTATTTATATTTCCAGTAATGTACTTTTCAACCACAATTCACAAAGGGAGCTGCATCACTGACTTTGCAAGAAGTAATCTTGCATATTCCACATCAACCTGTTCTTTATCAGACTTTCTTTAGTTAACTAAAATGTCTACTGATGGTTTGGCTCAGTGGATAGAGTGTCAGCCTGCGGACTGAAGGGACCCAGGTTTGATTTCGGTCAAGGACATGTGCCTTAGATGTGAGCACACCCCTAGTGGCGGGTGTGCAGGAGACAGCTGATCGATGCTTCCCTCTCATTGATGTTTCTAACTCTCTATCCCTTTCTAAAAAAAAAAAAAAAAAAAAAAAAAAAATCAATAAAATATATTTATAAAATAAAATGTCTGTCTACTGAGTCTGTCATCCTCTATAATAAAAGCCTAATATGCCAAGTGTCCAGTCATCCATTCAACCAATCAAAGCATAATATGGTAATGATATGCTAAGGCTGCTCAACCACTCACTATGACAAGCATTAACCACCAGGGGACAGACAGTTCACCAGTCACATAACCTATTAGTTATAGGTTATGATGTGCACTGACCACCAGGGGGCAGATGCTCCAACCAGTAGGTTAGCTTGTGCTGGGGTTTGGCTGATTGGGACTGAGAGAGAAAGGCTGGACATGCCCTGGAGCCTTCCCACAGTCCCTCCCCAGTTGGCTAACCTCCTGTTTCTCTCTCCCCAGCCCCTTTACCTGGCTTGCAATCTCTGGCAATCTGGGACCTCTTGGGGGATATTGAAGAGCCAGTGTTGGCCCAATCCCACAGGCCAGGCCAAGGGACCCACTGGTGCACAAATTTGTGGACCAAGCATCTAGTATAAATATAAATTGGAATACCACTAACTTTGTTAATCTCTTACTCTACATACTAGCTGGACTGCTCTTTGGACAGAGCAAGCAATTAAATGGGTACAATATAATTCACATTTTTTCTAAGCATATTTCTACTCAAAAGAATTGAGCTCAGGTTTCTCACTCACTCTACAAGGTAAATTTTCCTAAAAAGTTATTACTTTTATTGTCAACAGCCTGGATTTGCCAAACCCCAAGCTTTTTTTCTTTCTTTCCATTTTTTTTTAAGGTATTATACGTGTACATATCTTACCATTGCCCCCCCCAACTCCAAGCTTTTTAAAAAGGTAATTGATGAAAATTTAACTTTATT